CATGCATTACTTGCACGCCAGGCGAAACATCCTTGAGCCGAAAGGGTGTATAGTAAAAGAGATGCTATCGTGACGCTCTATAAACCGCGAATGTACCGAATATAAGCTCGCGTGAAGGAAAATAACGAAAGGCATTACTTGCACGTGGTAGTAAATACGTACACGTATACAATGCTCCGTTTATTACACACACACACACTTACACACGTATGTATGTATACATGCCCCCGAAACATCATACATCTAAATTAAAATCGTTTCATTTTGGTTAAAGCCGAGGGCTGATATCCAACTAACGTTTACAACTCCGTCGTCGACGTCGATGACGTCCGTCGACCTAATTGCATAACTGGAAAATTTTCAGATACCGCCAATCAAACGGACCGTTCGCCAACTTGCGTTACGCCTGTTCCGCGTCTTGTTTAATTGATAATCTCCGCGCCCGTTCGTCCGTGATTGATCCATAAAATAGGCATTGCCGGGTGGGCGGTAGCGTGTCGTTAAAGAATTCACGATGATCAATAATAGAAGTACGATGGCCGATTGTTGGGAACGCGCGTTCGATGTAACGCGCGTTACACAGCCCGTCCCAGGACCGAGTGAATTCCGCCCCGATCGCTACTGGTAAATACATTTCCGAACACGGAGACTGGTCGTTGGGAACACCTGCGGCCCCCCTCCGGTGTCACGAGCACTCGCTCTGTTCGGCATTGTCATTGCTATCTAATTGGATCTGCATCTCGTGCGAACTCGCGACGACCTCTATTACAAACGGCTGCGAAATTAAAATGTCCGTTTGAGCGTTAAACAAATGCGCCGTTGCTCGCGCGCGGCGTTCGTATTACGAAAAAAAAAAAAAAGGGAGAGAATAGAAAGGAAAATAGCGAACGATCGGCAACGAATTCGCGACATCGCGACAGATTACGCGGCAATCCGCCGGGAATAAAGTCTTCTCTTTTATTCAGAACCGCCGGAACGCGCTCCACTTATTTAGAGCTCTGCAATTGTAATCCGTTAGTCGACTTATATCCGCTCTAATTTGTACGTTATATTACCGACTCGCCCACACCGGCACTATGTAAGCCGGGTATTATTTCTATACCCGGGTATAACCGGTGTACCCAAACTCAGATACCACTCTCGGGTACTCGGGATTGACATCATCAACCCACATCCGCATCCTTTGTTCTTAATAGTTGAAAGTGTTTTATTTATTGCATTCTAGTGTTATATTGCACTTTATATTCTTTTCTTAATCGTCCATCCGAATTGATCTGTATTCATCAGAAAAATAATCGGATTCGCCCGATTCTATATATGACGACTTCAATTCAAAGTTTCTCAACGATCCTATTCGATACGATTTGCAAGAAAAAAAAAGAGCGGATTAATATTTCTCCCGCTCGATATCGGAGAACAATTTGTATTGGAATAAACATTCCCGTTGCCCATTCCAATGAACAGGCGGGTGATTAGTGAGCTTATTAGTCCGGATCCACGATAGGTGCAGTAAGCTTTTAACCTTTGGCTCTAAGCAATAAAGTGGAATTCCCGACGAAAGTTTCCCGCGCTGCCGGGAGTCGCGATGACGCTTAAATCTTAGGAATTGCAACGCCTGGAATTAGCATAGGACGAGGATATGTTATAAAACAATAAATATTATGTAAAAAATTAACACAAAATTATATAATACGTTTAATCGACGTTGAAATATGAAATGTGTTATTTTAACACTTACATATGTTGAATACTGATGTAAAATAAAATATTGAAATAACATAAAAACAATACGTTAAAGTAACACATGGGCATGTTAGAAGTTTAACATAAAAATTTTAACAAGGACCGATTTTAACACAAGTACAAAATTGTTTTACTTGCGCTGGGAATGCTTTTTGCGAGAAATTACGCTAGAACGAAAGGCTAAAAGTTTACTACACCTATTGTGGACCCGGACTTATGATATTCTCGCGCATACGAAACTCCATTTCTTCTCACGTTCGCTGATCCGCATGATTCGCGGATCAGCCTCTGTTCTTCGTCTTCGGCGGCTCGATTTCATTGAAATTCCACGCCTTCGCGGGGACGTAATACAAAAGAAGTCGCTGTACATCGATGCGTCAGTCAGTCAGTCAGTCAGTCGGTCGGTTGATTGCTTCGGACAGGATCTGCATTTTAATCGGTCTCTCCCGAGAACGAAACTGCTTTATTTCAGCGTGAACGCAGGTAACAAGCCGAGCAAGGGAAAGTCGGCCCTCTTCCCTTTGCCTCGTTTTCCCGTTCCATCGGACGCTAACGGCGATCGCCGCTTCATCGAACAATCCGCCGTCCAATCACCGTCGCGCGCGCAGATGTTGCGCTGTGAAATGAGTTTACTGCGATTTCAAACGAGCCGCCGCCGCCGCCACATCGATATGGTCACCTCATCCGCATTTCTCGATCGTATTGGCTGTTTCGCCACTTGGTCGGGAACAAAAGGGGAAGGGGGAAGGATAAAAAGAGGATAAAAAAAAATCGGACAACCGTCTGAAATGGGCGGATTATTCGTTTGCATGCGAATGGCTTGCCGGGGGAGAGTGGGGGGGGGGATTCTGTGTGAGGAGAGTATCCCCGGCGTATATACGGTCAATGATAAAATCGAGTGGACGATAATACGACGCGGATTCAATCAGTTTTCGTCATTCGGTCTGCCCTTCGCTCTCCCGCTCTCGTACTTCGTTTCGCGTACGTGTTTGCGCGTGTGCGAGTGTGGAAATGAAAGCGAGGACGGGGGACGTATTCGCGAGGCAAAGTCGCGTCAATGAAAGGACGCGGGAATGAGCACGGTGACGTAATGCAGGTGACCGGTGTGCGGGGGAGGGGGGGGTGAAGGAGAAGAGGTCGGGAAGATTGGAATTCGAAGATGCGCCAAACAATTCCGCATTGGATTCCGTTGGCGCCGTTGCGCTGGCCATTACGCCGGCAACGGCTCTCCGACTGCCGGCTGACTTTTTAGGATGCTGCGCGAGTTCTTCCCGTGCCGCGGCAACTTCGGGACGTGGTTTCCGCGAGAACTGCCGAGTGGTCTGCTAAACTAAGGCATGTAGCCCTTCGGCTTCAGTTTCCGTTCGCTACGACGACGGCAGCAAAGCTTAGCCGGCGACTAATGGCGAACGCAGCTGGTGTTTCTCTCGTGAAAATAAAATTGTATGAGGGCTCTTGTAAAAATTGAGAGACTCGCTCAGCACGACGGTGGAGCAAGTTAGTGGGCGCACGTGGCGCGACGGGAATGCGGAATCTATGCTGAGAGTGACTTTCAGAGCGAGATCCAATTAAAATAAGCTAATTGATGATTAACCGGCAGAATGGCGAACAGTTTGCAACTGTATAATTTGCCGTCCGACAATAATCGACAAATTAATAATTCTGCGTATGTTAACAAAATAAATCAGTACTTGTGACAGCAATTTTAAATACATATCATAAATAAAGAAATAGTAAGAGAATTCTTTAAATCATTTAAACAACAAACTGCTTTTCATCTTCCGTACTGGGGACGCTATCGGTTAAATTAATCGTCGATCGGCTTAATTAGAATTAATCAGGTGTATTTGAGTTAAATGTACATTAATGACCGTTGATTATTCGACTGATATGCTATTTTAATATCACGTGATATCGTATCATATCCAAATGCGATGTCGATGAACGATTAGAAGAACTAAGGATTTTTCGTGAATGTTAGAGCTTTATCGAAGCTTACGTAACGGGCATCCTCGGACACGACATCTCCGCGATATCGTTCTGCCGATATCCTTTCGAAGATTTTTCCCAAATTCGTCAGAGAGAATTCCACCGGGTCGCGCTGAAGAGCGCGCCTGTACATCGCTCGTTCAGCGATGTCGCGAAATTCTCAGATAACCGCCGGAGAATTTCATTTTGTCAAATAAAATTTGTCCGGGCAGTCTCGCCGGACACACGACGACGGACGACGAAACCGCAGGAATTCCGTTATTAATCTTTTTCAGGAAAAAGACGCGTTTTAAATCGCTCCGCGCGCAAATTTCAAATATGCCGCGCACCTTCGCGGTGCGGTCGACCACCCGGCGCTCACGGTAGGAAATTTCACTAAGAAATTCAAACCCGACACCTCTCTCCCGGCTCTCGCGACCATTTCTTCTCTCGATTCGGTAAATAAAAAATTCACCCGCCGATCTCACGTTGCGTCGAGCATCAACGAGTTCAGCTCGGATTAGCGAAATCAATACGGACGATGTGGGTATACACAGTTCCGACAACTTTCACGCGCGATACATAAATCGGACATTTTTTCTCCTCATAATTCCATTTGTGTATATATTTTATCGAGAAAGAGAAAGAGAGAGAAAGAGGAGATATTACCTAGAGTATACTGCGGATCCGCTTATTTTCCCGCCGCACTTTGTAGACGCAGCGGTCTTCAAAGCCCCGGAGTTAGTTGGCGACGAAAGAGAGCGACTGAACAAAATTGAAACAAAAAGATGGACGTCGGGCGTCGGACTTCAAAGTATCTTTCCAACTCGCGGAAAGCAGCGCAAATACGCGAACACCAAGGCGATGGGTGAAAGGATGGGTGGGCAAGGGTGAACGAGGAAGGAAGAAAGAAAGAGAGAGAGAGAAAATGGCGAATTAGCACCGGGATAGAAGTAGTATTAATTTCCTCGAAGCGCCCGGAGATTCCTTCGCATCATTCCCCTCTTTGCCGTTGTGTTTCTCCCGAAATCTCGCTCTTTCCCAGCCGCTTTGTCTGTTTCATAAACGCTAGCAGCAACAGAGCCAGTCCCTCGTGGCACGGTATTATTAAATTCTCCGCGAGAAAGATAAATCCTCAAATTTCAGGATACTGGATAAATTTATACGCGGAACTGTAGATATTGAGATGCGGTCATAGTATGTAGTACTGCGCTGACGCATGCCGCGGCGGAAGGGAATCCCATATGTGAGATATGTACGAATTTCGTTTATTTTCTTCTATTTCGTAGGAGCGGTAGGTGGCGAAGGAGGTGACGAAGATGACAAGGAGAAGGAGGAGGAGGCCGAGAGGGAAAGGCAGGAGGCTATTAGGGAGGCCGAAGAGAGAAGGAAGGAGAAGCACCGCAAAATGGAGGAGGAACGGGAGAAGATGCGACAGGAGATCAGAGACAAGGTCAGAAACCGAGCGATTCCTTTAATTGTGCAAGTTGGCTGACTAACTAATCCGTAACTCTCATTACGGGATGTCGTACGGGTGTGAGGTGGACAGATGGTCCTCTCTCACTCATGAATGTTTCTCTCGACATCTGTGCGGTGTGAAATATATTTTGTGTGTGTGTGTGTGTGTCTGTGTGTGGCGGACGAGAAAGAAAAAGAAGAAAAGAAGAGGAAAAAAAAGGGGCTGCAAATTAAGTCAGGAGGCTCCGCGAATTTTCATTCACACACGAGTGCGCGTCCACAACACTCGATTTTGTCCCTGACTATAAATATCCGAGTACAGTCTGAATATCGCCACGTGTTTTTCTGCGTTTTCCACGAGAGCCCTCGATTTCATCTAGGTCATGTCAACGCCGTTGACTCCGTCCTGACAGGACAATACATCAGGATTGATAATGGCGCGATCCAGCGTGCACTTTACGTCTCTTTCTCTCTTCTACCCACTGTCGTTCCCTTCACCCCAACCATCCCCCTCTTTTACCTCTTTTCATCCGCGCTCTTGTTGCCCGCCAAATCGGTGAGTGCGCTGGAAGTTTTTGCGAAATCCCGGCGTACATTGTTCTATCCCGTTTGATCAATGCCTCGATGGATTCTATTTTCTATGTGATCCATTCCGATTGCTTTGTCCTCCAGAAAAATACCAAGTGGGCCAGATTGGATTCGAACTTCGAGCGGAAACTCAAGAGCCAATATCGAAGTCCTACCGTGTCATTAATATTTTTTTTGTCTCTTTGCTTGTTTTTTTCGTTAACACGTCAATTTGGGCGACATTCAATCATGTCGTGTCGTGTCGAAAATAGCGGAAATGAAAGCATTTTTAATCCCCTTCCAGGCCGCTCGGGCAATAAGATAATCGCGTGTTCCATTCGTGATAAAATGTTACGGTAATAATTTGTTACGGGATAAAGTTCGATGTATTGAGTCGCAGAGCGAATAACCTTTTCTCTCTTCTTTTTTCTCTTCGTTTTATTTGCAGATGAAATATTTTCCAATCTACGTACGAATATAATAACGTCCCGTTTCCGTCCAGTGGACAAAACCGGCAGATTCTTTTAGCCTAGAGATTTTCGAAAAAGAAAGGAAGGAGAAAAGCATATATGCGCTAAGCTTAAGCATAGGCAGGTATGCGCGAATCGGCGAACGGCAGATTTATGTTTCCTTTCGCCGATATTTGTAACGGCCTCGCGAATTTCGCGGGACATTAATTGGAGTGGAAACACGATTATCTCGAGCGTAAACAGAAAATGATATCGTTGAAGGGACGAAGCGCGCGTAGTTCGACGTTGCGGGACGTTTGATGATCCGTGTGTGGCATACCGACCGCGCGCTGCAGTTGTAATTCCACGCAGAAGTGGTCGATCGAGTGGTCGGCCGTTGTAACCATTATCATGGCAGTTGCAATTCCCATATAGAAGGTGTCTTGATTCGCCGGAGATCGATAGCGCGCTTCGGCGAATCTGGAGCCCGACGATCGAAAAAACCGGAATTCGAGAGAAACGAAGAGTAGTTTGGAAGAAACTGCATTGAAAGAAGGATTCGGTAACATATAACAGAATTTGGTAGCTGTTGCTAAATAATTTGGTGAAATATTGCGTGCCAAATATTTGGCAACAATTACGAAATATATAATTCGATTAGATGAAATAAATATATATATAGTTCTAAGAGCCAAGATTTAGTTGCTTGAACTATGCAGGTCATTAAACTAAACTTTAGTAATTGATACCATATCTTGATAACAGAAAATAAGATATATTTGGTAACTATTACTAAATATATAGTCCATAAGAAAAATTGTTCTAGATATTTTTTTCATTTTACTAAAAATATTTCATCGTTTTACGTAAACTATCTTAAGATAGCTTGACATTCTGCTTCATTTTCATGTATTTCCTTACTTCATACGTGAAAATCCTCGTGGGTTTCACCTTGTAGAGGTCACCTCATCCAACTTTTGATCGCGGTCGTTGTTGCTTTACGTTAATCGGACAGGAATTGACGTGCCCTTGTGATGTCTTTATAGTTCGTGCTTGTGATGTGGTTATATGGAAAAAGAGAACTAGAGAGAGAGATAAAGAGAGAGAGAGAGAGAGAGAAAATCATAATTACTAAAAGTTACCAAATATTCCAAATATTTTATTGTAAAAATGGAGTTGAATGATTTCGTAACAAAATATCTAGTAATAATCATGAAATATTTGTTAATGGATATTAAATATTTGGTAGCTATTATTGTTTTATTTAGTTGATTCAAATCTGAATAAATGTCGTTCATATTGCAAGTCAACTGAATATATGCTAATTAATATCACATTTCGTAACCAAATATTCCGTTCGAAATCTCTAATTAAATACATTTAGTAAGTATTATCAAACATTTTTCAGTGTACTTCTTTCACAAAGTTTAAAGAAGCACGCAAAATCGAGGACCTAGAGGATCCTTCGGGTATTCTTCAGGATCGAACAAAGTCTAATCGGCCAGTCCGGATGAGCCTGCGGGAGAGGGAAGCCGTGTAACAGTACTAAAGATGCCAGTTAAAAGTTGGACAGATATAATAACGAAGAAATCGAGTTTCCGCGACTTCATTACTCTCTCTCTCTCTCTCTCTCTTCCTCTCCCTCTCGGCAAACCGGATAAAATACGTCTTTCGCGGACATCCCGACATTCGTTCATCCGGCCGCGGTTTTATTCACGAGAGACCGGCGGAGAGAGGATCTCGCCGACGAAATATAATTAACACTAATGGCCGCTTCATCAAGGGCGCAGGAGCCACCGTTAAATCCTTTCGTCTTGGCCACGGAAACGTGATTCTTCGAAAACGAGCGGAAAGATTGAGACGCGCGCCGCGATCCCTCGTGAGAATAGAGAGCCCTATTCTTGCGTAGCGGAAGAAGAGGCTTTGGCATGGTAATCGCATCGGGTCAGGTCAAATCCGATTTCCTATCTCAACTAATGAACGAAGTGGGACTTTGTTACCGAGACTCGGCGAGTCCCTGTGCAATTTGGAAATATTCTTTTTGTTACTTTATTTAAGAGCCTATCTCTTTTCTCTCTCTCTCTCTCTCTCTTCCTCATGCCCTCACCGTGACAGAAAGAGAGAGAGAGAGAACAGGAACGCCACGCACAGCTGATATTATTGTGAAAGCGTAAATATCGCTTCGTAATGTTATTGCGACATTGCGCAACGCCGCGTACCGGTGCTTTTACGACACATGGATTTCGTTGATATTCATAGGGCGCGTTCGCGTACGTTTTGTCTGACTTATACGATCATCCTGCGTTTTTCACGTGGCCGTCGTCGAAAAAATTCGTTTCGCCTCCCATCGGCGTTGATTTAACGTGTGCGCGCGTACGCGTATTTATTTAAACGCGGTTATCGGTACTCCGGAGGCCAGCTCGCTTTCGCGTTACTGTGATCGATTGATCGCGCATCGCCGATTTCGTGCATTCTTGAACGCGTGACGTTCGTCCGAGCGAAAATGTCAGCGCGCGAGTTTGGACGGACGGCCGTCATCGGTCCGCCTTGAAAATTTTATCGAGGTCGCGTCGACGATATAATATATTCTGGAATATTGACTCATATATATATATATATATATATATATATATATATATATATATATATATATATATATAGGCGCACGGGATGAATTTGTTCCGCAACGGCCAATTACGGAATATCACTTCGGCTCTTGCAGCACTGTTCTTTCGCATTTAAGAAAGCGCGTCGGGGCGACGCGTTTAATGAACGACGAGCTTCAATTATCGGATCTAGCATTAGGGTTCGCTTAACTTCAATTGGTGCTCTTAACTATACCTCGACTATGAAATTTACTTCTGTTCGACGAACTTCTTGCAGTTTTTATTTCCATCGCCACTATTACTCGCGCGGTCACTCTCACGCTATTGTTCGCCAGAATTGCTGCGCGATTGGACGAAGAAAGCTTGGACTGCGAGAGAGAGAGAGAGAGAGAGAGAGAGAGAGAGAAAATAACAGAGAAACAAGCGCGAAGATGAAGAGCCCTTACCGTCCGAAAGCTACAGCACTGGCGTCTCTTCGATTCGCTGTAACTCTCAAAGATCGCTATTACTTCCCGCGAATTTACTCCTGCAGTATTTACCGAAAGAGAGCAGAGAGAAAGTACGTCGAACGCGCGACAAGAGGTGGTGAGGGATGGGCGAACGAGGACTCGGGGAAGCGGGTACGCGATGATTCGATAAAGTACATAATAAAATACGGCGGTGCTGCAACAAGGACGATGATGTCGAAGGGAATTGATCACGACAACGTGCAATAATGTCGTTTCTTCGGCAATTTTTCGCCAAGATGCCGCCGAAGATGAGGAACGGGAAGATTGAGGGGTAACCGGGGGAGGGTGGTAAAGGACGAGGAGGATGAAGGATTGGGGCTCGGGGAGAAGGGGGAGAGCACAGAGTGGCGGGTGTGTAACGTCGAGTAATATTTTGTCCGTGCGGCGAAACAAGGACGATATATTAAATCGATAAGAAAGAGCCCCGGGTCTTGATCCTCCAGAAATCTCTCCTTGTGATCTCTCGCGCGCGACAGCGACAGCCAATTCTCCCGGCGGCGGAAATTTCGCCCGATTACAACACGTATCACGGCGTACGATACGCAATCATATCGGACGATGAGGCGATTCTAATTGTCGACACCGTGAAGTAATCTGTGACGTCGCGCACCGGGTGTCGGCAGTCGGACGAAAGTTCCTCCGGGAGTTTCTGCTTGTTCTTCCTCTCCTCGAGCGGACTTCCGACTTCTCTTCGGGAGGAATCGCGACGTCGACTAACCGGTAAGTCTCCTCGGAAATATCACGAAATTATCACGAATTATTTCCAGCGATGGTTCGTGTTATTATCCTGTAACTGGGTAGCGTACTTTTAGAACAGCTTCCTCTGGAGCATTTAAGACTGCACGTGTAACATCTGCCTCTCGTCAAAATTTGATATTATCTATCCTGAGACAGGGCTGTCGACGTGGATGTCGGGCTTCGGCGGTTAGCCTCCGTGTCGTAATTAAAATCCGGATGATTGATCGTCCGCGTGTTAAACAGGCGGACGGGGAACGTCGAAGATGATGTCCAAGGGAGGAGGAGGCGCATCATCGCGTGACATCTCCGGTGTCGCAGCGAGGCGAGGAAAAAAGGACGACGCGGGCGCAGCTGCGAAATAGGAAGAGAGAAGATTGAACTTAACTGGGGTCAAATTGACTCTAGTAGGGAGTCCCTGCATTCAATATGGCGACTTCCTAATAGAGTCAGGCTGACTCCTTTTAAGACGTTCACCAGGCGAACCGTCTCGGAAGTACTTAAAAGCGTGCGCTTGAAATGAAGTTAAGGCCACTTAACTTGCGAAGTGTCGGTTGATTTAATGCTAGTAAGGCGAGGTTGTCGCGAATGATCTGCATTCACGGTAGATTTGTGGAAAACAGAGCGATATTCGAGGTATCGCCCGGCCGACGAGAGGGACGGCCGATCGGCCGTCCGTAGTACAAATTAGCGACTAGTATCGGAGGTAAAATAAAAGCAAAAGGGACCCTTTGAAATTTTCCCCATCCGTTCGATCGAGATGCATTTTTTTACTTTCATGCATTTTCCGCTCGATGTTGCCGGCATGTTCTCAAAGACGAAGAATGTAATTAACGGTGCGAATTCGCGTCCTCTCTAAAGGATCAAATGTAATGCGATACGCGTCCTTTGAAGCCTGCTATAACCCCGAATTCCCGATAGAGATCTCAGATTCCAATCTTCCCAGTGCGTCGATAAGGTGACGCAGTATCAGATCTTCTGTCTATAACATCCGCGAAATTTATGATGCAGACTGGAGGTATCGAATGCCATAATCTCATTTTCCACCCTTTCCTCTCCCGCTTTCGCAATATTAACAAGGTTCGCGAAGATAATGATGAACTATTATTTGTTTTATTTATCTACTTATTTATACGGGGATTATCTCTTTGATATAGTTATAGCGATGTATCCCGTTATGTCATTTCTCGATAGCGATAGATTTCCGAACAATAAAAGCGAATAATAGAATAATTATTAAACTTAATAATACAATATGCTTTATATGTATAATGCGTGCTCTTATTTTTAAAGAAATAAATGTATATTTGCACTGAGATATGTACTTGTATTTATTCTGATAGATGCTAATTGGTAGAAAAATAATTTTAACACGCGACGTAATTAAGTCATTAGGATTCCTATACCCGTACGTCTTATTTAATTTTATTCCTTCATTACTCGAAGAAGCATGAACGATGTGTCGGATCGGTAACCTGTGATAACTTGATGTTAATCAGAATTGAAACGTTATTTGTAACACCGTTGCAAATTCCTTTTCTCAATAACAACTGGTCACGGCGTTATTTGTTTTTTTCTCCCGCTGGTAATGGTAACGACTGCGCACTTACGCTTCCTTACACAACAATATAGAATATAATCGTTACGTTTATTTCTACCTTACACATGCGGAATATGTGCACTCGGGACGGTTAACGGTGACCTGTCGTAAAAAGAAGGTCTTCGAAACTCGGCGAAAAAGTAACGGGAACGATTCGTTACTTCTCGAGTAACGAGTTATCTCTCACAATGAGCAACGGTAACTGCAGCGAGTTACATTTTTTTGTTTTTTCAGTTCATTCGGCTAACGAGTAACTTTTAAAAAGTAACTTTCCTAATTCTGACGTTAATATCCAGAAACGAGCGGTTATGAAATACCGTTAACTTAATAACGCAGAGTGCGTGTTAAGGCAACGTTGGCGTGCGTTTAACGCGGAAGGTCGGGGCCGGGGGAAGCGGCAGCGCGCTGCGACTTGTCCGGATTCGAAGACACGATAAAACCGATGAAGAGGCCGATCCTCTCCACAAAGTAGTCTACAACATGTACGAGTCTGAAGTGTCGCGTACGTGATAAATCGCCACGCGGCCATAATCCGGCGCATAATAATGTTCTCGCAGTGCTCGAGAGCACGTGGATGGTCCGTACGGACAGAAGCGCACATGACGCCGGTGCGGGCGCTCCGACACGTTGCACGTTTCGAGCGGAAGCATTAATTAACGTCAGGATCAGAGCATCAGATTTGAGGCTGCCATGAGGTACAGTCCTCGTTTATCCTCGCGCTATCTGTCTCCTCGACGCAACGCTGTGCACGCTGAGAGATTGAGAGTTCGAGGGAGGAAGGGGGAGGCGGGGAGAGAGAGAGAGAGAGAGATTTTGCTGTGAAATACAGGTTCGTGGAATGTGCCGATGATTCTCTTCTTGATCCGCGCGTTCGCGCATATATCCGAGCGAGCCGGTAGACGTGAGATCCATTAAAAGGCTTACACAATGTTATGAAGCGGCGATTTTTAAAAAAGTAATTAACGAAATCGCGTATAATACGGCGCTATAAGTTGAGAACACGGTCGGACAGAAGCCCCGGATGCGCCGGCTCAATTTATCAAACGGATGCGCAACTCGTTGTAACTCGGAAACAAGATTGAAAATATGAACTTCTCTCTCATTGTTCCCAAGTACTGAATCCCTAAAGTTAAGGCTCTTAAAGTTCACGTTCTCTGTCGCGGTCTGTAACTGAAGTAAACAACGCGCGGAAAAATCCAAGGTTTAACAACCGTCCGAGGGAAGGCGGGAGGCACTCGTAGAATGCGGGTTATTATCGGTTAAATGACGAATCATTTCGCAGAAAAACGGCAAATCTTAATGAGATCCCAGTCGACCGGTATAACCGCGATACACGCGATTCCGTTGACGGCGATAATACCAGTGCGCGCGCTCATCCACACGCATACAACCACACGCGCACACAGTCACTCGCTCACTCACACAAGGTGGTACGACCTATGACATGTCCGGCTGGCTCGCAATCGAACTCATTGTTGGCCGCGAGAGCACCGAGAGAGACAAAGCCGCCGATAGTACACGCGCGAGCGATCGCTGTCTCTTGCAAATTAGATATGCTCGTTCCAGAAGAGACGCGGCACAATGTCGACCCGATGTCTTTTGTTGCGCGTTTCGCGTGTTTATTAACTTCCCGGGGGCCTTTTGCAGTTTCGCCGAACGGGCGAGCTCGTTTTAACCCGTAAGCCCGGTGCGCGCGCGGACGTACGGAAAATACGAGATACCTAACGAAACGTCGTCTTTCTCTTTAATTTGCAGTATAACATAAAGAAGAGGGAAGAGGTGCAGGAAATGCCACAGGAAGAGCCTAATCCTCTGATGCGCAAGAAGAAAACGCCGGAGGAGCTGGCGGCCGAGGCCGAGGCTGAGGACGAGGACGAGTTCACGAGTACGTAGCGCACGAAATTCTCTCAGCGGTAACGCGTAACCGCGCGGGATCAAATTGGCGTTCTAGTTAGCAAATATAGCGCGGCATTGGCCAAGAATATATTTCCATCTATCTCCGAAAGAAATAGAGAGAGGGAGAGAGAGAGAGAGAGAAAGGTCAGACGGACGCGAACGTCGTTCTCAAAGAGTCAGACTCGTTCGACTGCTTGACTAGCATTATGAATAAAAGAACGCGCCCTCGCATTATCCCCGACAATTTGAACTAGAAATTATACGTTTCCCGGTACCTGCGAGTGAGTCTGAGATTATGTCAATCTATTGATTTTCTGCGCATACCTCGTGCGCAGTTTTCTCCATAAAAATAACGCGTACACACACACACACACACACTAATTTCGCGAATCCGAACGCCGAAACTGCTCGTCGTTATTCGTACTGGCGGGGAGGGGAGAAGGCGCGTCTAATTCTTGCCGGCGCTAATTCGCGGCGATGCATCGAGGAATAAATCCATGCCTCTGGGGAAATTATCGCGGGCTATACCCTGCATGCGCATATATATGCGACGCGGCAACACCAGAGAGATTCGGAAACAATTTCTGTCAACGTTGCCCGGGAGTACACCTGAACGTGTATACACTAATATCATTAATAAATTGTTATTCGCCGTAACACGCGATAAATGCACGCGCGCGATACCCGTCGCTATCGCCGCCCTTTCGTCGATTTCAACGCGCGCGTCGGGGTCGCGGTGGGATTACCGGATTGTTCCTCGGGCGTCACGCGCGGTGATTAGTCAGATTAAGCGAAGAAAAGGAGGAAAACCGAGGGCGAGGGACAGGCGTAACGCAGTTTTCGCTTTGACTGTTGCAGAGTTGAGAAACACGCTAGAAACGCAGGTGAGCGAACTCAAGGCTCAAATCGAAAGTAAGTGCAGCCTCCAATGAGTCTATCGCATCGCGCGGTTCGCGAGAAGGGTGACGCCGTGCGTCGTCAAAATCGCATCCGCTCCACGTCCCCTGGTGCCCGGAACAAAGAGGAAGGGGGTAGCAGATATAACGACAGAGCAGCGAGAAAGAGGAACAATACGCGGAGCCGCGATCAGCGTCGTCGCCGCCGTGTCGGCCAGTCGCAGATCGATCCCAGACACGGTCGATTGGCCGATCGTTGCTTGAAGCACGAACGACGAGAGAACGGGATCCGAGGGGGTCTCTCACCCCCGGAGGATCTCGAGGGTTGGTTCTTTTTTTTTCTCTCCTTTTCCTTCCTGAAGGACTCCCCGTCGGCGCGCTTGGACGCAACCGGAAATCGGGAGCGATCCTGTTGAGGATTTCGTTCTGCGCGAAGATAGACAAGCGAGAATCGGGGCTAGAGACGATCCGGCGGAGTCACTCCCCGGCTTCGAGACGAGACGAAGGAGGATATGTTTAACTCGACATTGAGATTCGCGGAGTACCCAAGACTGCAAATTTAAGCGAATTCGGAATGATATATATAGATATGCCGGAGATTGCTAATTAGAGCCTAAAACGTAAAATCGCGAATCATCAAACTCCGAACGCAACATTTGGAATTTAAACGATGTTCGGGAAGGGCGCTTTCGGAAAATGTTTGCCGGAGGAAAACGTCGAAATCAGCTCTCTTCGACTGTTTACGACGAGCGACTGCGTACACTTCGATCCAGCATCCATAAATTTCCTCGACTCTATCCGATTAGAGTGCCCTTGGCACTCTTTAACCGGATGAACGCGTGAGAAATTCTCGACAAATATCCCTGATATTCCCCCCAGCACAGTGTTGCAACGAAGACACGCAGAAGTTGACGACACTGAAGAGCGCGCAGAAAAATAGAGACTCGGATATCACCGTAAAATATCGACACGGTCGATGATCGCCATCCTCAGTCAAGAATAATGTGAGAAATAAACACCGCGAATCGATCGATACGTTTCCCGGTAGAGAAGAAAATTGCCCGCGTAATCCAATACCGCGCGGAAAGAATTATAAATCTAGAAGCCCCACCGATTCTCCATCAGATTCAAAAGTAAACCGTTTGGCCAAAATGGAGGATAGAATCTCGGAGAAAGCAGAAGAGGAGAGATGGCTTGAAGTTGAAAAATATTATCGATCGTCGATGGTGTTCGTGGTGGAGAAATGTACGGTGAAAGTGATGTGAATGAATGAGAAGAACGAACGAACGAACGAACGAGCGAGCGAGTGGAAAAGAGAGAGAGAACGAAAGAAAGAAAGAAAAAGTGAGAGAGAGGGAAAGAAATAGAGAGAAAGAATGCTGACTCGACCAGAGTGTGATTTTTTTATGTAATTGTTGCAGTTAAAAGTGTGAAATGACGTTGTTTTATAGAATAATTAGGTGTTCTGTAGAATGTTTAAGCGTAGTTATAGTTTGTAACGAATCAATTATCCGGTATAGCGGGTGAGGTATCCACGTGGATACCACGTTATTTTCTATTCATAGTTCGTCTAGGTATTCTACAGTTACGGAGAATTTTTGGCGCAATTTGGTGGTTTGAAAACAACAACAACAAAAACAAAAACAAGAGAATAACTATTGATTATCAGGAACTATATATACACACACGCAAGTATACATGACGGTTCGCTGTTTGATTATTATCGGTATTAAAACGCGATTTCTTTATCTAGGTATTTTACCGGATATCTAGTTATTCTATACCCTCCTCAAGAGCAAAAAATCGATATCACTATTGTCGTACGACCAACCTTCTCGGACGTGCTGATTGATTCTCGGATAGAAAGACGGGGAATCTCCACGGATGTGTCCTCCTCCGCGAGTTTCTCTTTCTTTTTTTTCGGAGGATCATCGAGAGAGACTTCGTGAGTCCCGTGTCCGACAACCAATAACGTCCGGCACGAACACATTCGACAAACTGTCGTACAACAAGCGTAATATCGTCTTTAGGATCAGATGTACTTATTGGCTGTCGAATGGGAAACTTCTGAGACAGTTGGGGAAACTTGGGAAACGCGAAACCTCAAAACTTACCTATTAGATAGCCAATTAACAACTCCGACGAACTCGCCGTATGAAAACTGTATTAGCGTTTTAGACAGTCTGGATTAACTAACGGTTAAACTGGTTCAACTGCTGCCCCTTTCTACACAATTACGGGATCGTCTTTGTAACGTCCTTTTTACTTAAGCGGCAAAAACGTCCGCGGCTTTTGACTATAAAACTACGGATTTGCTAGCTGCGCGCTCACCACCCCTTCGTTACTTTTTTCTCTCACGTGAACACGACGCGTCAGTGCGCGCAATAGACATATCAAAGTCGGATAGACTCGTGAATCTCTAGTGCGTTCGAACCTCATAACTGCTTGATTTTTATATAACGAGTGGCTCGAGTCCGGGTGCCTGACTGACTGGCCGACTGACTGATTGATTGATTCGATCAATACGGCGGGGCAGAGATGGGAATAGTTGCACAACACAACGCGATATGTTACCAGCGAGAAAACGGAAGGGAAAAGGAAAGACGACGAAATTCGCATTGTTACATCACGGCTGAAAGCGGCGCGAAAGCCCGACAATTTTCACGCTAGCGGTCGTTATTTTATAGTTAATGGCTGGGTCCTTTTTCGGGAAATCGAGAATTCAATTACGACGCAGCGTCATCTGGTCGCGCAGCATACCGGCTCTCCGCCGCAAACATCGCTTGCAAATTACCACGTGCTCGAAAACGACGCGCAGAGAGCGAAACGCGCTCGAGTTGCCCCTCTCGCTCGTCACGACGATGAATCTTAATATATATATATATATACATATACACTCACGCATAAGTATATATATAGATAAATAATGTAAGAAAAGACGAAAGAAGCAAAAAAAAAAGGGACATATGTTAGCGCTTGAGTTTTTAGGAACGGGGTTTTTCGAATAGTGAACGTAATAAGAGAAGTAAAAGGTAGCTGAGTTATGTAGTTGATAGAAGTTTGTTCGACGGCTGTTTCAATATTAGGGGCAGGGGATAGAGGGCGATGACGAAAGAGGAGGAAGTTTCTTATTATTGTCGTTAATGTCATTATTATTATTATTATTAACGCGGCATGATTATTAACTATTGAAGGGCAAACGGAATCCGAGAGGATGACCATGACGCGTGAGAGATGGTAATTGGTAGTCCTCGCTCTGCCATTCGTCCATCGTTACAATGTGATAAAACGTTCTACTTCTAATTTAAATCGTCATTACAAAGAGATCAATCTCGTTGTCTGTTCGATCGTTTGGACGCGGGGATTGTTATTCCGTGATTATCGCGTCGGTCTTTCACGCCTAGTCATCGGAGCTGTGAATTGCACGTGTTGCATTTGTTTCATACTCGCGAGTTCTACTTCTAGTTCCTCTCAGGACTTCGCGTCCTTCCCTCTTTGTTGCATTAAATGCGAATGCATGGACAATGGGATAAGCTGAGCAGAGCATTGACTGCTAGTTCAAATCAATGTGTGCGACTTAAGCGTATTTATATATATATATATATTCATGTGATATTCACTCATTGAACGAGGAAACTTTCAACTTGACTTGCACCAATCGATTCCGTTGCTACACGGGGTATTTCGCGAGAGATCGGTTTTCTGATTTTCTACGGTAGCATACATATTATGGAAATGGATACGCAAAACTTTTTAACTTTTTAACATTCGCTGATAATTGGATTTTCCTAGCGAAATTCTCACGCAAGTGAGAATCGGTTTTCGTATTTATCAGAGCGCTGTAATTCTGGAAATGCCCTGTGTTTTACCAGCGCATATATTCGGAATACTTGAAGTTTGTACGAGGCAAGTCGCAAAAAATGGGAGCAGACGTAAAAGCGAATGAAAAAGAGAGAAAAAAAAGACATTTAGTATATAAAACCATTTTTGTACGGGAGACGGAGAAGTAAAATGTATTTTTTTATTTTGGACGAGGTATAAATTCCGATGTAGCGTTGTAGCGTTTTCTTAAACCCTCAAACGGCAGGGTAAAGTGTCGAATAATGGATTAGTAGTGCACTCAATTCGTAAACGAGAAATAATAAATTAACGATAAAGCAAATTCGTTTTCATAACCGACCGAGTGACGTGGGGTGATCTAGCGACAGGAGATTATCGAGCACTTTTCTAATTTTTCTACACTGAGCATCTCGACGGGCGATATTTTTGCGGTAAATTTTTATCTTCCTTTTTTTTAGAACACGATATAAATTCGAGCGGAGCGCAAAAGTCTGTTGTATGATTATCCGGACGAGTCTCTTAGCAGATACGTTAGATTTTTATGAAGTTCAAACGATTCAAGCGGGATGCTTGGAAATATTAAGATAATGACAGCGGATCGCTTGAACGTCACTCGATCAAGGTTACGATTAAACAATCGTTAAAAAATCGTTCTAGAAATATGATTATTGAATCTGTCCACTTTTTTCTGCCTTTCTCCTTAAAACACGGACAATTCTCTGTCTCAGTTCTCGTTTCTTCGCTACGCGATCAACGTTTCTCTCTGCAGACTCGATCTTTTCCGAGCACACAGCCTCTCTATATCGCCAGAAAAGAACCCCGAACCTGTGAGATCCCCAGACTTTTCGTTTCACGGATTTCCAAATTCCTGGTCATTTGCACCGCCGAATCGCGTACAAATCTCGCTCAATGCGAAGATTCAGGAATTTAAAAATCGTGTCGATTTCTTTCCCAGCTCCCCTCCCCCCCTTCCCCCTTCTTATCTTTCTCTCTGTCTCTATCCCTTTTCTTCTCTACCCGTTACTTTCCGCTATCTCTCAAGCTCCTTCTCTGTGAGACGCAATCTAACCCCGATTTATTCCCACTTTCATTTCTCGCGTGTACCGCGATACTAATTGCACCGATATCAGTTGAGGATCCTTTTACAGCTCTTTCCGCACAACACATTGCTAGAAGGAGTGTCAGTGATCTTTCCTCTTTCGCAAGCGTATCGCAAACTGTTGCGTGTTCTGCGTAACTCCGTCGACAAATTACGCGCGAGGCACTTTCGCGTTGCACGTACAATCCACGTCCGTCCGTTTCTTTTGTTGTGGTATTGATTCATCACGCGTGACTTACGCGATTATTATGTTTGCGTAATTGTTACGTTCCAAATTCCCCGAATCTGATATTCCGTATTAATTATCGCTGAGCAAACGGCATTATTCCGCAAACGCAAACAGCGGTCGAGAGTGGGTCGCCTCTCTCTCTCTCTTCGCATTTATTCCCTTGTCGTGAAAAACCGCGAACTTTCTCCTGCACAGGAAACCACGGTAAAGCCCGCCGTTCAAGTTCGGCGGCCGAAAGTTTCGCGAAAACCGCTGACAACGCGCTTCTCTTCCCTCTTTCCTGCCTCGCACGCTCTCAATTTTACTTATTTCTTTTCTGTCCTCTTTCTTCCTTCGCTCTTTTTCTCTCTTTTCTCTCTCTCTCTCTCTCTCTCTTTCTCTCTCTCTCTCTCTCTCTTCTCTGCTCATCTCCCATCCTCCGCTCGATCGGGGAAAGATAACGAGATAAATTAATGGCTTTCGACGGATTGAATTCGCAACACTTACGGGCAGTTGAATAATTTTTCCCTCCTTATAATTATTTTTACGGAGTTACGCAGAAGAACAAGAAAATTATCTCGACTGACAAGCCAATCTCCAACAATCCTCGTACGATAATACGCGAGGAGACGGTCGTCCTATATATATATATATATATATATATATATATCCAGGATGCAAAAAGGACGGAATTATTTTTCACAGCGTTAGGCTATCGATGTGTAACGAACGATGTGTAATAATCTCTTTCGCCTTGTCGATGTGCGTTTCTCCGCTTGTCGTGTCTTCTTCTACGTCGATGTTGCTGGCTTACCGGCTGGTCTTCTTCGTCGCAGCTTAATGATCGTGTATAACTGTCTGGCTGACGATCTTCGAAAATTACCCTGTAACGGGTAATTCGTTACGCGTCTAATCCGAAAAAAACGGCATGGGCGGTGTCTTATCAAAGCTTACCGTGACCTCGACTCAAAGAAGCTGAATTCTGTCGCGCGTGTTTTCACCCCAGAGCGCGAAGTATTCCGCGCGACTCTGCCGCGCGCGCGGGCGCCTTTTGTGTTTCGTCCTTTCAAAATTTTACCAAAAGATAATATGCGACACAACTTGAAGTCTGTTATAAAACGTACAAGATGAATGAACATCAATTATAATTTAAAATTCTAATCTATTACATTGACAATATATTATTTAAGTATATA